AAACTTCCCACAGAATATCCTGTCTTTATCAGCGCATGAAATTTTAATAACTTTAAATCGTTACTCTAGTTGAAAGTTAAGAAGACCTTTTTGTAAGACCTTTTTGTAAGGCATTTGTTTCACAGAAGTGAAGGCATGTCTTTTCTTGACAGTAACAATGTATTTTTTATGCTAACAGTGAGAAATTAATCTACAGTAGCACTGGAAATCTTCCATTTTTATTCGTCTTTTTATTAGCCATTTGTGAACCTCAAATAAATTTATTTTTCTGTATTAGGTAGCATGGGGAGTTGTTTTTTTAGTTGGAGGATTTTTTGTATGTTTTAGGTGGGAAAATATTTGCAATCTTGCCTTATCCTTCTGGAAAGAGACTTGATTTGCTTGTTCTTCTAACTTGACTTACTCTTTGTCATGAAAAATCACTCCTGTGCTCTTTTTTAGCTGTATGAACAGTTTCAGTAATCAAAAGTAATGAAATTAAAATGTTGCAAATTACCTTCTCTTAGTGATTTTCCTTTGCTGTACCTCTTAGTTATGGTACAGTAGCCAGTTTATATGAGAGGTTGAAAAGAGGAATTCCCTAGAGCATCTTTCCCTTTGTGGCACATCAAAACTGTTAGATGTGACTGTCACTCCTGGCCTACCTCATGGTGAAGTCTTAGAAGGCAATTGGGACATGCTGCCTTGTAACAGAAGAGCAAGATCAGAGGACTATTCAGTTGGCCCCAAAAGGAAACACCAATTTTCTTGGGTGCTTTTTGTTCAGTTGTTCTGTCAGTTTTGTTTTTTTTTCATTTTGGGTTTTTTTTAATAGTGAATGGGTTTTCTTATCAAATGCATTTCAGCAAGTGAAGTAAACACGAGACTCTCCCAGCCCTTGGTCCTTCAGGGTTTCAGATGCTAACACCTAGTCCTCAAAGTGCTGATGAGGAGAGTATGAGGGAAAGGGAACATTGTGTTCAGAGGCATTTGCAGGTAGCTTTAAGGCTGTGGCTGGAACAGGCAGTTTATCCATCCGAGTTGAAATCACCTCTTTCAATGAAATCTTTATCTAATCTTCCTTCATGCCAGTAGAGACCTTCCTTGAAGCACTCCTGACAATCCTGTGTCCCAAGGAACCAAGGAGTAAGTTTTGTAACTACCAACTGGAAGGAGCACAGACACGTTGGATAAACAAGTGGTTTCCTTGTGATGCCCACCTCTCTGGGCTGGATGGACAAGGCTGCAGACACCCTGAGGGAATTTGTCAGTATGCTAAGATACAATGGCTTTAGAAGAAAAACTTGTTTTTCTTGGTCTGGTAGCTCATCCTTAAAGGAAAGCAGAAAAAGCCAGCACAAAGACTTTACTGGCCCACTTTTCAATTGTTGAACAAAGCTTTTCTCATGATCTGGCACTCTGCTGTAAAAAGGAGTTGGAAAGACACAAGGGCAGCACTGACTTTCTTGGAGCTCTCATCTTGTCAGAGTGTTTATTAAAGGTCTTCTTCATTGTCTGAGATGTTCGTAGAGTATTGAATGGCAATTAACCGTTGTTCTTTATATGACTTCTCCAAAAAGCACAAATCCAGCGAGATGCTACTAAAATCTCATTTGATTCCTATTTCCTGGATTACTTGTATTTTTCTGTTGATTTCTGTGGGCATCCTGTTAACCTTCAACTGTCCTTAACAGTGATCATTTTAGCTTCAGTTTTGACTTGATAACATTCTGACATAGGTTTGTTTTCATCTAGAGGGCAGAACAAGGCAGCTGGGCTTGTAGTCCATGCCTTTCTGGATGTGGTTTCTTGACAGACCTCCAGCAAGCTGACTGCCACCCTCTCCCACCCAAAATGTGTGGGCACAGTGATTAGAATCCATAGTTGAATCTTGGTTTCAAAGAAAGAACAAGATGCTGAAGTTACTCAAGTAGATTGCCTCAGACACCAATCTGGTGTGAAATAATGATCTAACTAGTGGGAAGTCAGCGGCTTGTGAATAAGATACCTTGGGCCAGCATTTCTTTAAATAGATGGACTTCTGCAGTGCAAACAGGAATTTCCCATCTGAATCTATTTCTAAGGAGTTCAGTGCGTCAGAAAGAGAGTTGTTAGCTTTTTATGACAGAAATGTATTCCTTAATATATTTTTGCTGGCCGGGCAAAGATTTATAAAAATAGTTGTAGTTATTTCAGCTACATACATTTTTGATAACAAATGCAGTACCAGAATAATCAAATCCAACATTGCACACCAGCTGCTTAGGGATTTTTTGTTCTTTATCCAGTAATTTATTAAAAGACTAAACAGTACTAAGTTGTTGGGGGTTTCCCCCACAGGATGGGCAGTCAGGATTTGTTTACTACTAGCTCCCCTCATACTTCTAATTCTTCCTCACTAATGCATACACAGTATTTTACTGCAGTTCACACCTGTAGTTTTTGCTTTAAAAAGCTAAGGAGTTTGCTCAATTTTGTTTTCTAGGTATGCAGTTATAAAAGTAGTTTACATTTTTGTCTGCTTATTTCTGAATGTCTTTCTCTTTGAAGTGCTGATTGAATCTCTGACGTTAATCTCTTTAACCCCTGAAAGAAGATTACCTTAACAGTGAAGTGGCTGGGGAGGGGAGAAGCAAGGGAGAGGCTGATTCTGTTTTTCTAGAATGAATTCAGGTCTTCAATAAGGGCTTTTCTTTGTGACATTCAAGCACACCAATAGCAAGTTCCTGCTGCTAACACAGCCTTAGCTGGACTAGTTACCAGCCATTTGATCAAATCAGCAATTCCTTGGGCAGAATCCAGCAGTTTTACCGGATTTGGTAAATTGTTTACTATCTATTTTTTTAATTTTTTGTTTGTTTGTTTGTTTTTTAGTCTTGAAGTCTTACCAGCCTGCTACAAGTTAGACAAATGCCAGAAGGAAGGAAAAATATTTGTGATGGACATTTGGACAGATGTCCATGTACTTCACTTCTAATCTACTTGATTAACATTAGTAATGTGCTGGACTTTTGAATTTTGTGCTCAACTTCTAGCCAAAGGCATGGAATCAGTGCTAATAGAAAAGACATTTTTATAAAGGTGATTGGATTTTTATTCAATGCTAGCAGAAAACATTGAATCAAAGTTTTTTAAAAATAGTCAAGTAGGCCTCAGAGGAAGACAAGAATTTACAATAGTCAGCCACATGGCCGAAAGAAAGTATTTTGGCTTACAATGTCTGCAGTGGTAGAGAAATTAAAAGGATGTGATTCTGGATGTTTGACTTGTGAATTAATAACTGGCTTTTCTGCTGTAGATAGATGTTTTTTGTGAAGTATTTAGGCACACTGCATTCTTATGCACATATTTGAGCCTTGTCTGTTAATATTTGTTCATAGTTAATAAGTTGGCAATAATAGTATGTGAAGTAAAAATAATTGAAAAGGTGTGATTGAATTGAAATTGAAAAGCTTTGTGGTGATTCATTATTCTGTGGAAAACCTTAAATTGTGATTTGTAAAAGGGCTGTTATTTGACTTTGTTGCTGATTGTTTCTGCGTCAGTAATTGTATTACATTTCAGTAGTAGGGGCTGAAATGACAGGGTGAATATATTTAATCTTTTTGAGCATTAAATTTTATGGGTGTTTCACTGTCTGTGAACCTTGTTCTTTCCAGGAACTCTGATTCATGGTTCTTGAGGAAATTACAGTAGCTTTATCATTGTAACAGTTAGTTATACAGAGGGTATTATTTTCTCTGTGTGACTATATTAAGGCAGTATTTGTTTAGTAAAATTTACTTTCTTCCATATTTCTGTGTCTAATAGTTAATAAGGTAAGAAGGAACTGAGAAGGAAAAAAAAGAATTAGACACACATTGGGAAATACTGTGTTTCCCTAATTCTTAGTTAGAGTCCATGAAATTGTTGTTGTACTTATCAAAATATGTGGTTTCATGCTTTCAGACTCCTGCTGTTTATTTTTTTTAATTGATTCATTAGAGAATGTGGAGCAGTTGATTTTCTGTGTCTATAGAGGTTTTACTTTTGAAGTTAGCGTAGATTTTTTTAATCCCCTCCTCCAAATAATGCAGGAATTTTAATGCCAGACTAGTGCTGCATCTAATAGACGCTGCTGTTTTCCTCCTGATTTATTTCCCAGCTGGGGTAAGCCAGAAAATGCCTGCTACCAGTTGTCACCACCTGATAAATGGCAGGTGGTGGTGACTTCTTAAGGCTCAGTCGGTGTTAATTGCTGGTGACAGGTCTCCTCTCTGATTCCCTTCAGCAGCAGGTAATAGGTGCCCCCACGGTAAACAGCTCTGGCTCTGTCTGCCTGTAGTGCAAGCTGGTGGCAGTCCTGGGCCATCAGGGATATAAATGTCTCCTGTCTGGGCACAGTTCTGTTTCTGAATCCCTAAGGATATTGTAATTACTCTTATTTTTCTGCAATTTTAGTTACTCTAGAGCTTAACCCCTGTCCTGTGGCTGTGAATATCTGAGGTTTGTTTGTGAGGTGTATTTGGGGAGCTGGCAATGGATGAAAACTTCTCTATGTCTTTAAAGATGTCACCAGCTGGGCAAGACTTCATTACACAGATGCTTAAAAGAAAAAGCAGGAATGCCCATTTCGTTTTCTTTGTATAATTGCTTTGGATTTGCTTCCTATAATCGAGTCTGGATTTGTCACATCTGTTTCCCCCTCCATCCTGCTATAGAAGACTCCAGTGTCTTTTCTTCATCTGTTTCCTGATTCCCCTTTTTTACCATTTACAGTCCATCAAGTAACCAGGATGAAGAATAATCCAAATGTGCTGTTACTATGTGAAGTTGTAGGGGAAAGTAATTATGACTTCCCTGGTCTGGTAATAGTTTAGATTTTATTCCAGAACACTTTTCCATCAGAGTTTACACTCTGCATGGGGTTTAACAGTAATAAATTCACATTTGAGTTAACTTTTTGGGAATATTCTGTGTTATCTATCAAAAGACACAACATGAAGGTGAACTCTTCGTTTTTTTACCTCTCGTTCTCACAGATTCAACCATGGGGTGCATTAAAAGCAAAGAAGGTAAAGGCCCAGCCATGAAATACAGAACTGAAAATGCTCCAGAACCTGTTATTTCCCATGTCAGTCATTATGGATCAGATTCCAGCCAAGCAACACAGTCACCGTCAATAAAGGGATCAGCAGTTAATTTTAATAGTCATTCCATGACTCCTTTTGGAGGACCTTCAGGAATGACACCCTTTGGAGGAGCATCATCTTCGTTTTCAGCTGTGCCAAGTACATATCCTAGTACTTTAACAGGTGAGTGTTACATAAAAAGATGCTATTATTATTATTATTTATTGTTATAGCTGCTTGACAGTCATAGTCAAAAATACTATGACACCTTGCCACAGAGAAATAAACTGCAAATTTAAAATAAATTGCCTTTTAGAGATTCCTGATTTCAGTATCTTTACTGCTCAGATAATAATTCAGCCTGTATTCACTAGTGACTGAGGCATGAAGGTTGGCTTTTATTTTTGTGGAGACAATTAGGGTCACAACACAGAGAAATTTTAGACTTACTAAAGTCATTAATGGGAATAGTTGATAAAATTATATTAGAAGTTTTAAGATGTTGGAAGGATGTGTATGGGATAATGGCTTTAAACTTTGAGAGATGTACAAAATGAAAAACACTTCAGATTCAGGAAATTGATATTTTAAACTGGTTTCAAGTGTGATTACTTTCAAGTTGTATTAATACAACATTGCATCAATTTATGAAGCTAAACAGGATTTGCATTATATTCTGTGTACTTTCCTATGGGTACAGTATGTGTGAAACGAAAGAGCAGAATTACCATTGTTGGTGGCCATATTAAAACCAAAATGGAAAATGTAAAAATAGAATTTGCAACACACAGAGACCCTCTTGGCTGAGGTGCAGAAGATACAGCATTTTAAAGCAACATGCACATTCAATGTTATAAACCCAGCTCTATAGCAAAATCTTAACTCTTAAAAAAATACTGATTTTGTCCATATAACTAAATTTCATAATTTTGATGGGTATTTTTGAGAGGAAGCTGTGATTTATTCTTTTTTTTTTTGAGAGACGCTAAAAAGACTAATTTATTCTAGAAGCTCTGTACAGACACTTCATGAAACAGAGTAAATAATTTCTTATTAGTCTATTTCTAGTTTTCCCACAAACCTCTAATGTTGGCACAATCATGATGCTTAAGTGTTTGCCTTGTCCCAGTGACATTTAAAGTCTTTTAAATACAAGATATTTGAGATCCATGAAAACACATTCTAACCTTGGCATTAAGCAGTTCAGGAAACCAAATATGAATTGTTAGGTAATGATCACCTCATTGTCCTTTTCTTGGGAGTACATTAAAAACCAAATAATTAAAATGAACATCTAGCCTGTATCATTTATGAGTCAGCTCTGAATCCCTGTTTCGGATGAACATATGCTGAAATTAAATAAACACAACATTTCTTTATTTTCATTAGCTCTGCTGAGGAAAGTTTATTGTATTTCATCTCCCCCAGGAACCATGGCATATTTCTTCTTACTAGATCTGGTTCTTTGGTCATGTAGGAATCTCCAGCAGAGCATGCAGGCACTCTTGGGCATAAGCAGACATCAGGGATGTAGCCCCCCCATTGGGCACCACAAATCCTTTGCTGCAGAGACCAGAGGGGATGTTCTCTTGCCTGTTCCTGTTCCTGCTGATTGTTAAGCATGTTATATCTTGAACCAGAGTCAACAAGAGAGATTTCTCCTGAAAAGAGTCTTGATATCTCATCAGTGTGAAAACAGTTATCAGCCGGCAGGCTGATTTGTGCTCACATTGTTTTGCAATTAGGTAAAATGATACTGCATATTAAATTATTCCTTCTCGTTCTGTAAAATCGGCCCATTCACAAAAAAACACACATTTAAATAAATACATACATACATACACAAATAAAATTGCACTAACAGTTATTTGGTACATTCAGTACTGCTTTTCAGATCAATCAAAATTTTTTCAGATCAAAATTGGGTGTTTTTGTGAGCGAGATGACAGCCTTCATTTGCTGTAAGCTTTTTGTATTTGTGACCAATAAAACACTGGATCGCATTCTGTTTCCCTTTGCTTCACAAGAGAGGAGAATAGATGGCCTTGTCAAACAGGATGTAAGTGTCAGTAGTACTTATCCAGTTGACCAGTGATGTGTGACAAGAGGATGATATGGTTGTCATCATGGCCTATAGTGAGGCTTAAAAGAGTTGAGCTAACTTTTATTCCTCTAGAGCAGAAAAGGAGAAGAAATCTGAGTTAGTCACATTGCTCCTATATTACACACTGTCTGTCTTCAGATACTTTGAATTCACAGAATATTGCTGAAAATCAAAACAGATAAATGGATTGATGTTCTTGCCTTCCATGAAGCTGTGCTAGTGCTCTGTAATCCCCATGCCGAGCAAGAAGGTAAAGTCTTCTCTCCAAAACCATAGATTAGAAGATGGAATACTGACCAAATGAAAGGAAAATCTTTAAAGGAAGTCTTGTGGCTGCAGATAGCTGGAGCAGCTAAACTAGATTACTTTCCAGTGGTTCATGAAGAAAACAGCTGCAAGAGACTTGAAATGTCATTTGACACCTTTGTTTAAATCAGTCTGTGCTGATGCTGTTCTCTTCAAGTATTTTATTATTCTTTGCTATGAAAAAATAACACTTGTGACTGAGAGTAAAAAGAGGGTTTATGGTAGTTGAAGTTTTTTGAGTTTCTGTATATGCAGTTAAAAACTTTTGTGATATTGTGAACTGAGAGTATTGATCGTTTTCATCTGCTGAAAAACTCTCTGGGGATGGTTTGTTTCCATAACACTGGCTTTCTGTTAGTGTAAATATGGTTGTATCCTCACTATTTTCTTGCTCCACATATCAGTTTGTGTCATCAAAATAATGCAGTAATAAGGAGAAAAATTGGTGGAACTGTTTTCATTTTTAACTTAAATTAGAAGCTGCTAACTTCTAAGGAGTATCTTTAATTCATTTTCAGTTCATAAATCACACTTTTAAAAAAACCTCAATTACTCTAACCTCCTGTGGGGATTTTGTTCTGTTTTGCCTAGCAGAACTGTAAATTCATTTCCAGCTGAGGCCAACTGAGGGACTGTAACTACAGGAAGACTCCAAACCAAATGAAAATATTTAGGTGATTAGGAGCTATTATGTCAAAAAGTGACATGGCAAAAGAATATTGCATACAGATTATTGCCATTGCATTATGTATTCTTCCTTTCTGATCACTGTCATGCTAATTGTAAGATCTAAAATTAGATGCAGTGTGTTCTCTTGGTGGACTTTCATGTATATCTTGGTATGTATATGTGCATATATGAGATGTAGTATTATACATTTAAAAATGTTATTGCTTGGATGATCACTAGGCTTCTTAAACGTTCATTAGACTGAGAAATAGCATTTCTAGGGTTTAAAAAGTCTTTCTGAATTGTCTATTTGCTATTTTCTATTTCAGCTTTCTCCTAATTATGGTACTTGGTTCTTTTGTTTTTGCTAGTAGCTTGTACCTGTCAAACAGCCTGTTCTCCTTTCCCTCTTCCTCTTGTCCCTCTTCCCAGTTTTAAAGATTAGTCCTTTGACGTATAGAAAAAGTTTTTCTGCTGGTAACTGTAGAAGCCTTCCTACCATCCGCCTCTCTCACATCTGTCGTCTTTGGGGGACTTGTTCAACAGTATGCCCTGTACCAGAAGTGGGATGGGAAAGCAGATTCCTTAGGGTTGGTGGAGTGCAGCTGTTCTTCATGTGACCTGTCTTGGTCCTTGTTCTCTGGAGTAAAGCACTGTTGGATCATCCTCAGCAAGGGTCTGCTTCACGGGTGGGGAGACTTGGTGGAATCAAAAAAATCAACAGTGCTGAAGTAGGGGAATGTCTTTGTCCTCAAGAGAGTACTCCTATTTCTGGTTCAGTTCCTTGGGTAGGTCTTGATGTGTAACCTCAAAAAGTTGGGAATGCATCAGTTATTTATAGCTAAGTCCAACAGGAACTTTTACATCTGTGAAAATTAGTGGCTGATGGTTCACCATTGTGGTGGTGGAGGTTCTTCCAGAATTGCATTTCTTAGCAAGAAACAAGCTTAATAAAGAAGCTAGGTTTTTCTGTTTGTTTTTTTTTTTCATCGATGATGTATCATGCAAGTTTCTATATATAATTGCTGTAATTATTAATGTAGTTCCAGTGATGTGTCTAGTGGCCTTTTGTGGTGTGGAAGCATATTTTCAGAATGTCTGTTTATAGGCAGTCCTAAGAAATTAGAAGGTTATCTAGAAGGTTATCTATCTTCCAAAATGAGATGCAACCCAGAGTGTTTAGTTGCTTCCAAATCCAAACTGATTAATTGTTTCATGGACAAGTCCTTAAATCAAGTGTTGCAACATTACTGCTATATCATATGGGATTTTTTTCTTTTTCTTAAGGTGGTGTTACTGTATTTGTGGCCTTATATGATTATGAAGCTAGAACTACAGATGACCTTTCATTTAAGAAAGGTGAACGGTTCCAGATAATAAATAACACGTAAGTGTTCTCATTCACAGACCTCATTGGGTTGTTGGGAATAATTAGATCCTTAATTCTTTTGGAAATCTGTATCCTATTTCAGTGAAGGGTAGATAGGTTTTTTTATTATTATTATTTGTTTTTTTAAATACATTCAGTATTCAACAAGCATGGGGTTAAAATATATAATACTGCTAAGACAATAACTTTTCAGGTTTAGATGAGGGTTTGGGTGCAGACATAGAACTGTAGCAACTGTGGTAGCCCCAAGCATCTTCTTGGTTGGGTGACTTCCTTCCTCTCCCTGCCCCAGCAAGGCACAGCTGCCTCCTTTGGGGCACAAAAGGTGGGGACAGGTACTGCTCCATCCCAGACTTTGCACCCTGGAGTTACTCTCTGATCTGGAGGGGCAGATGAAGACTAGACAGCTCAGAAGTTTATTTACATATCTCTGCCATAAAGCATTTTGGTTTTACATTTTAAAAAAAAAGAAAAAAAAGCCCCAAATCTTTAAAATATTAAATTCCTAAGAGACATTAGAGAAGAGACATTTGTGTTGCTCAGAACACAAGATGTATGTTGGTGCAGCACAAACTATTTTAGATGCCCTCATAATTAAGATAACATATTACCTAAATTTACCTGCCTTTCATATGTGAGTGTGTTACAAGTGCTACAGAGTTCTGTGTTGTTTAAATGTGGAAGAGATAATGGATATTTCATTGCAGGGAAGGAGACTGGTGGGAAGCAAGATCCATTGCTACAGGAAAGACAGGCTACATCCCAAGCAATTACGTAGCTCCTGCAGACTCCATTCAAGCAGAAGAGTAAGACACTGTAGCCTCTCGATCTAACACACTTTATACCCTGTGGTGATACTGTTTTTAAATTCATTATATGTAACATTTAAGAGTAAAGTTGAAGAATACTATTAATGAGAGGATAGCAGTGCTGTTTGGATTATGTCAAAGGTATAATTATTAGTAAGCATGAGGTGGACACACACACAGATGTTTTATGCCCACTTGCTACATGGGGGGCTAAAGGAGAAAGGATGGGAGAATTCAAAAATGATAAAAATTGTAGGGTACACTTTGTGTATGATATAAAGCAAACATGGGTGGGTTTTAGCTAAAGATTTCACACAACACACCATCAACATAAGGTTTTTATCCTTATTTTCACTTGCCAAACCCTGAGTCAAGATCAGCTATGTACTAGGTATGACCTAACCTTACATTCTACAAAACCATTTGTGTGCCCAATTATTGCTAATGTATTAATCTGCAATAACTTTTTGGTGACAAAATTGTTTGATATGCTAATTGCTAATTGACTGCTGTGAATTTGGAAAATTATATTGCTTTGTGTACCAGTACTTTCTGCATTTATTTATTAACATCCTGAAGTGCTTAGACAATCACATAAAATGTGGAATCCGTAGGTTGGACTGAAGTTTTAGGTTATGCTTTTTCCAAGGGATTGTATTTGCTGTACTAGAAATATAAAGTTGCACAGCTCTTGTTTCAATATACAGGTATGATACTGTCCATCAGTAGCTCCCTGATATGTGGTCTATGCACATCTCTGTTTGCTACTGCAAGTCTGGGAAAAGTGCCTGATTTTCAACATGTTTCCTGAATCTCAAGCTGAGTCTTTAGTATGTTGCTGCTGCTGCTCTCACATGGCTCTTTGCTATTAAAAAATGATTTTATCAAAGATGCTCAGTTATTTTACAACCTTGAGCTTCATCTGGTTTTAAAATGATTAAAAAAAGAAAAAAGTCAAATATTTCTTCTTTTTTTTAACTATGCAATAACAGCTTATGTCATTACAACTGCAGTGGTGGTAAAATGGAAATGATAGCTCTTTACAAAGAAAGTATGGCTCCTAAACACTGGCCAGAACAGAGTGGTGGGATTCGTCATAAGTTTATGTGATGACTAGAGGTGAGAGTGAAGGGTGATGAATGAGTAAGCTTTTAAAAACTGTTTATTTTAAAGAACCAGTGCTAATTTTATTATATATCCCCACAGTATTTGGATAAACTGCATTTGCTTCAGAGTTTGTTATCCCTGTGCTTTGACAGTGTTTGTAGATTTTGTGTTATGACTGCAATTAGAGTTACAAGTGCAAATGCAATACAGAGCCCCAAGTTGCTAAGATTTTGTCTGTGGCCTTTTCTAGGCTTGGAGGCATTTATAGCAGAAACTGCTTGTGACAGGATCCATGTTATTTGTGTGCTTTTTTTTCATGACACCGTAATATAAATGTTTAATTGTCTCTGAAAAGTAAAGCAATTCAACCCTACTTATAGGTAATGAAATAAAACAGCAATATTTACAATATAGTTTGTAAATTGTTGTTGTAGTCCAGGGAAGAGGTATTTTCATGTGAAGTTATGAACTAAGATTCAAGTTTGCTTCTGTAAGATTATGGGTTACATCCAAATTGTTTCCAGTGCGTATACTCTCATATCCATTTCTAACTTTGCACATCTCCTTCAACACTCAAACTGAAAATACAACAAAATATAAGAATAAGTTTCAAATTCTCATGTGATTGCATGAGCCATTCTGCTCATGGCCAACAAAGTGATCCCTCTTTATCTACATTTTTCCCCCAGAAAATGTTTCACCCACAAAGCCATTGCTGTGCAGCAGTTTCCAATGCTACTTTTCCCATCACTCATGAAGTCAAATTAGTTTGATGATATGATAGTGACAGAGAAAAATGTTTGAAATTTATGCTTTGCATCACTTTGTAATTCTGAGGCACCTAATAAAAATAAAATATAGTTAGAAATAAGTCTTACTCCAAAGCCTGGGGATTCATATGAAGATGGACCTTAAAATTAACACTGGCTCAGGACAGCGCTGTGTGCAGGGTCTTCATCAGGACAAGCACACTGTGGGAGTGTAGAAGAAAAAACTCCTTTTGTAAAAGAGCTGAAGGCAAGAAAAAATGCAAGTCTTTTAAAACATCTGTGTTCTTTTTGGTATCAGAATGATTCAGCAATTTCAAATGTTACTCACAGAGAAGTAAATGACACCTACCATAGGGTTTTTCTTAAGTGATCAGTAGAAAAATGTGCTCTCTACTGAGGCAGAGAAAGATGGGAGGCAACAGAAAATGAAACAGGAGAGATTCCAGCTGAATTTAAGAAACTTTTTATCCTGAGGACAGCCAGGAGGTGGTACAGGTTGCCCAGGTTGATAGTCTGTCCTTCAAGATTTTCAAGCCTAAAGTGTACTACATCCTGAGCAACTAGGTCTGATGTCACTGCTGACCCTGCCTGCAGCAGGAGGCTGGACCAGAGAACTCCAAGGGTCCTTCCAACCAGAATGAGCCTGTCATACAATTATATTTATGCACACTCACTTTGCATTAAATATTGTTTTCTAACATAAAACCAAAACTTTTTTAAGAAGGGGGTGTCAGCTGCTGCAGTGTTGAATGTGCCCCCCAAAGTGTCTCGTCTGATTCATCTTGGCCTGTAAACTTAGCCTGAGGAGTGTGTTCCTTTCAGTGTTAAGAGCAGTTGATGTCTGCTGTTAAACCAGCAGAAAACCATAGTGTTGCAGATACAGGCTTCTTTACATGTATTTTGTAAATGATAGAAATGACAGTCATATAGAAATAGGTTGTCTTAATCTTTTGATTACATGTATGTCATTGCTTTTGTTGATCTGTATCTGCTTTGGGATGCTTGCAGCCCAGCAACTGTTTTGGAATATTAGTCCAGTCAGTGCTTGAGATTCCTAAACTTTTGCTTGTGAGTACCAAAGCATAGGAAGCTTTTATTTACACATTTTCTTTTAAATTTTTCTAGGTGGTATTTTGGTAAGATGGGCAGGAAAGATGCAGAAAGGCTACTTTTAAATCCTGGGAACCAGCGTGGTATTTTCTTAGTAAGAGAGAGTGAAACCACTAAAGGTATGTATGTGTCTGTGTATCTCTTCTCTCTCCCATTCCCTCCTCTCCCCACCAGCAAGGTGAACATTATTATGTCTATCCCATGATACACATGAATGTGCACACCATGTATGTGTACAACGACAGCTGGGGAGATACCTTAAATACCTTTTAATATTTTAGTGAAGCACCAGATGTCACTTTTTTCCTAGGTGCTTATTCCCTTTCTATACGTGACTGGGATGAGGTCAGAGGTGATAATGTAAAACACTACAAAATCAGGAAACTTGACAATGGTGGATACTATATCACAACCAGAGCACAATTTGAATCTCTGCAGAAGTTGGTGAAACACTACAGAGGTAAGCCCAAGTTCCAGTGTCCCAATGTTACCCTGTGCCTATTGTGAGGAAGAAGGACTGTGTACATAGCATATTCTTAAAATTCACAACTATAAAATTTCTTTCTGATTTCAACAAAAAGTAAATAGACTAATTCTTTATCAATATTAAGATATTACTTTTGTTACAGTTTTACCCCTCCTTAACTGTGAAGCTGTTAAATATTTTTCCTGTTTTCCAGAACATGCCGATGGGCTGTGTCATAAGCTAACAACTGTGTGTCCCACTGTGAAACCACAAACACAGGGACTAGCAAAAGATGCCTGGGAAATTCCTAGAGAATCCTTAAGGCTGGAAGTTAAGTTGGGCCAAGGATGTTTTGGTGAAGTATGGATGGGTAAGAGCTTAATGTGACACATTTCAGTTGTTGCTGTGAAAGTTTTAATAGTATTGTAAGTAAATCAGTATTGGGATCTGAAAAGACAATGTCATAGAGAAATGAAGGGAAAAAATACCAGTTACGATCATGCATGTATTGGTAAAATTAATATTCAGTATAGTTCTAGTTTATAATTATTCTGTTAGCTAAGAAAACAGAAGCAAAAAAAGTTTCAGCAGAAAATTTCTTCACTATTACAGTGGGGAATAAAACCTGATCTGTTTCTCTAGGAACATGGAATGGAACGACAAAAGTAGCAATCAAGACACTAAAACCTGGTACAATGATGCCAGAAGCTTTCCTGCAGGAGGCTCAGATCATGAAGAAACTACGACATGACAAGCTTGTTCCGCTATACGCAGTCGTTTCTGAGGAGCCTATCTACATCGTCACTGAATTCATGACAAAAGGTGTGGGACAGAATAGTTAGAAATACTACATTTAAAAGGTTATTTAAGAGCTCAGCAGTAAATCAAATGTTTAATTAATGTTAGGTATAAGCTAACTGGAGTATAAGTGTTAATTTTGATTAAATTAAAATGAGCAACGCTTGACCTACTTGGAGCAGTTCTGATTTAGATTATGGGCAGAGGCATGTTTTTTTTTGCACATCTGTGTCACCCTTGCTAATCTTCCAAGTATAAGATTTGGAGGTGGGGGAGTTCTCCTCATTTTTAGTGTGTACAGTCCATTACATTTTAAATGGAATGGTGTAGCTGAGAATATTATTATAAAATTATGGCTGCCTGTAGACAGGTCATGCTAACAACAGAACATGTTGAGCTTTGAGTTTTTAGTGTTTCTTTCCCAGCAGTGTAATAGTAAATTTTAAAAAGGTTGAGGCTTTTTTTCCTCAGACTCCCTCCTTTATCCCCTTGTTTGCCGTCTTTGATCCTTCTTCCTTTGCTCTATATCATTTACCCCTCCCCCTGCTGCTGAAACAGAGATTTAGAGATTTAGGCAGAATGTAGAAATAAACATCATAAGCATATTAGTGTTAAGAAGCAGCAGATTTCCAAGTCAATTATTCCATTTTTTATAAAATACAGACTTCTATTCAACTCACAGAGAAATTTTGCTATCCTCGTAAGATACAGAAGCAAGGGAGTGGCTAGTGGTGTTCAGTGCACTACAAATGTATGGGTTTGCTTTTTTCCCATGTTTGGATGGGGTTTTTAAAGGGTTGTATAAGTTTACAAAGGTAAAAAAGAAGAGAAAATTTAAAAAGTTCCTTCTGCATTTTTGTTCCTGAATAACACTAGACAGCCATGCAAAATCAGTTTTCATTGTTCAGAAATCAGGTTTCAGCAAGGCAATAAGGAATGAAATATTTATAACTGTCTAAACAAAAGCAAACTTTACTACCAGAACTGGTTACCTTGCAAAAGCAGAAGTAAAGAATTGTAATTTGTCTAAATTGTGGTTTCAAAATGCTGTTGGAAGCTTCTTTTTGTAGCTTTCCTTTGACAAACTTTTCACATTTTACAAAAAACCTATAGAACTTCTTTGTTCTAAGCTGGTAGAACTATTTATTTTTTTTATATTTCCCCTTTTACAAGGAAAATAAATAGGTACAAACTGCAGAGTATCCAACTGTTTTTTGCACTGTGGACAGGTTACTAGAGATCAGCGTGAAATCTTTGCTCCTCTTCAGTCCTTTGATCTCATGAACCAATGTCAGAAAAAGTCTGTGCAAACACACACAACAAACAGCAGCGGCAGTGTGGGTCTGGCCTGCCACATTTTCACTTTCACTGTGCAAAAATACAGCTTCACAAAAGTTATTTTGGAGAACTCTAATTCAGAGTTGCTACTATGAATCCACTTCAGGATATGCAGTCAAGTGATTTCTATCCCCACCATGGCCATACTTGTAATTTTGTTACTGTCGTGTTGACTGTGACAAGAGCGAGTAGCTATCAATTTTCACCAGTTTCTTAGGAAAGAGGTCATGTTCTTACCTCATGTGACATAATGCTGCCTGTAGGGAAAACTTTTACATAGAGATAAAGCTTTACTGCTCAGGTAAAGGTTGTTGTCTTAACAGAAGCACAGGTCCTTGGAACTGATTTCAGATACTGCTCATGTAATGTTCTGGGTACAATTGCATTATATAAATGGGAGAAAATAAGGTATCGTAAAGAACGGAAAATAGTTTTCCCTGTAAGAAAGGAAAAGCAAATATAAGCAAATGTAAGAAAATAAAAGAAAAAATTTCAGAATAATTTCTCTAATATATGATTTGGGCTGGCAAAAAAAGGTAAGTAAGGAATAGAGGTTTTTTTGTTCTGTAATTATAAATCTCACAGTGGAAGAAAGTCCAGCTTTCTCCAGCTTAGGAGGAGCACTGATCCCAACAACACTGGAAAATTTCTAATGTGTTGCCAAAAACAGCAGTCTGTTTTATTAGTGTTTAGTTATTTGCAAGTACAGATTTCATGGGATAAATGTGTCAATCTTAATGTCTAAGAATAATAAAAAAAAAAATCTCACTTGTGTTTTCAGGTCAAGTTAATGTTTTTGGTTTTTTTCCTTTTTTTCCCCCAAAATGTGTCATGTTTTACAGGCAGCTTGCTAGACTTCCTTAAAGAAGGGGAAGGAAAATACTTAAAACTCCCACAGCTGGTCGACATGGCTGCTCAGGTACCAAAAACACTGTATTTTGTGCTTAGAGAAGAGGTATTAGATATCAACTAAACAAAATTATTGTATGTTCTGGCTGTTGTATGCTGCTCTGTCTTACACCTTCTCTTGTGGGTTGTAATTTGTCAGAAAGGAAACAGTCTGGCTTGCAATTAGCAGCCAGACACACTAATCAGGGGCAAGCTCTTGGTTGCTATGTTATAATTCCTATACTTACACAATGGGAATGGAGCTAAAATAAAGGGGTGCAGCTTAATACTTGGGAGAGATGTATATAGTCATGAAAAATAACCTTTTATAACACTTTTCTTTTTGAGATTGCGGACGGCATGGCTTACATTGAAAGAATGAACTACATCCACAGGGATCTCCGGGCAGCTAACATTCTTGTAGGAGACAATCTTGTGTGTAAAATAGCAGATTTTGGTTTAGCAAGGTTAATAGAGGACAATGAGTACACTGCGAGACAAGGTAAGGCCAGTTAATTTATTTAATTAATAAGACTGATTGCCTTTCAGTTGCTTAGAACTATTACATTTAGCAGCACATGCCTGTGTATTGTGTGTTCATGGATAAAGATCATGCATGGAAGTGTGCTTTCACAGCTATGTTTAGGTGAGCCCCTTGCCTAGGTGTAATCCTAGTAAAGTTCCTTTGTTCAAAGTTATGTGGCAGTTTGTGCTTTCAAAAAGCATTTTTAATTATTTCTGGGGGATAAAATGTGCTACAGTTTGAAGAGAAATGGGATTCCAGAGATGTTGTTCATCAGGTTCACTTTCTGAAACATATTTAAATAAGACTCTCAGATGTCTTTAATGCTTCCAGATATTGTAGCCAGTAGTTGCTGTCCTAGTTTGAGAAATACTACAATACTATACTACCTTGAATTTTATCAATAAAGCAAAGTATAAAAATGTTTTTAGTGTATTATTTTTTTCCAAATATTTTGAAGTTTAAACAAATTGTGGATTAGCAAGGGAAAACTGAGAATCTGTCTTTCCAATGTTTGTAGGAGCTAAATTTCCAATTAAATGGACCGCTCCAGAAGCAGCGTTGTATGGTCGGTTTACAATCAAGTCGGATGTGTGGTCATTTGGAATTTTACTGACAGAGCTGGTAACTAAGGGGAGAGTGCCATATCCAGGTAACAGGAAGATTTAATAGATTTTTCTTTTCTTTGTTGTATTCTGTGCCTCTGGAATTACCTTTTGTACTTTTTCCCTTCATTCAGAGCCCACAGTTGACAAGCAGAGACAAAAACTTAGTCACACCTCCCTGGTTCCTTTGTTCAGAAAGATATTTTTGTTTATTTTCAGATTAAATATTGCATATTTTGAACAGTTTTAACATAATAGCACTTTTAAATGTGACTGACAGTTTATTTCAAGTTAGTGGGGATCCTTATGTTTCCTATCTGTCCCTGATATTTCTACTTTTGACATTTTCCCAGGCTACAGAGAGCATCAGTACACTGGACCTGCTAAACCAGTTTTTGAAATGAAACATTTTTTAGCAGATATTTTGCTGGATCTGGAATTTGTAAGGCAGTTCCGTTAGGGATATATAAAGCCTTTTTCTTGGCCTGATTTCAAATTAAGCGGTCCTTGAGTGGAACCTAAGGCAGGGAGAAGCTATTTGTACTTGAGTCTCCTTTCTGAAAGGACAGGTCCAAGACAGTGGGAGAGGGAGAAAGAGAAAAGTACCAGGTGTTGAGGAATTACCAATTTACTGAAATAATTTTCAGAAAATGTATTTAATGCAAAATGAAAAAAATTAATTCACACTATAAAGTGTGTTCATTAAAGATTCTGTTCTGGTAGAATCACATGCATTGCAGCTGCAGAGATTCTTGAAAAACTTTGGTAAACTGTTCTTTGCATAATGTCATTCAGAGCAAATATGCTTTCCTTTCAGGAATGGTGAATCGAGAAGTTCTGGAACAAGTGGAACGTGGGTATAGGATGCCTTGTCCGCAAGGCTGCCCAGAGTCTCTCCATGAGTTAATGAAACTGTGCTGGAAGAAGGACCCTGATGAGAGACCAACATTTGAGTATATTCAGTCTTTCTTGGAGGACTACTTTACTGCTACAGAACCACAGTACCAGCCTGGAGACAATTTATAAGCCAACAGTCTATATAACATGCACAAATCTGCCAAATGTAAAAGACTTGCAAAGAATTCCTGAAGTCTCTAAGAAATCACAGGAAAGAAAATCTTTGCTACTTTGCATGCTCTTAATGGCAAACTGGAATTTCATAATGCAGTTGCACAAAACCACTTTTAAAGTGTTATACTACGATTTACCAATGACATGTTTTTATTTTTTCCTCTTTCCCAACTTCTTTTCAGGGTCCAAAGGAAGCTTACTGAAAATACGGGGCAGAAAAAATGAGCGTTGGTGTGAACAATAGCAGAAAAAACAATGTTTCAAATCCTTTATTCTCCCAGTGTTTGCTAATCATTCTACTACTAATGAGGGAATTGTCTGGAATCAGTGTCCTTGGGGTGAGGCCTTTTTAAAGCAGAAGAACGTTGTGGGACCAAGCAATTCTATTCCGGTTCAGTTAAACTCCCTGTGTTTAAAACTACGTGTGTGTGCCCCCACCCCTGCAAAACAAAAGATGGTACAACTGTATTTGATTTATAGTCTCAATCTTTAAGCTTCCACTTTCATGGACTTAATTAGGGTAGGCAGGTAAAAAGAGAAATTGGAACAGTGAATGAGAAACTTGATCTAAATGGTAGACCTCAATAGTGAGATTAGAGAGCATAATGCACTGTGTTAATACTTGTATTAATATAACTGGAAAGTAGCATGAGAGATTATTCCTTTTTTTTCTTTCTGCATAGCTAATTAAGAATAATGAAGGTAACTAGAAAATGAGGTAATATTTTATAAAATTGTGTTGATAAAGTATGATGATATTTGAACTTGAAGCTATGTAATACAATCATGGGGGGAAAGCCTTTAATCTTTTAAGCTCCAATGAAACAGCAAGCTTTTGTATGGGAAGACTACCTGAACAAAGTTCACCAGGAAAGCAAGACTGAAGCTGGTAAATGGCCATCTCTTAGTCCTTTTTCAGAGACAGGTTTGGTACTGTTGTATGTGGCTTGTAAGTGTTAACAAGGGTGGTGCCACAAGTGCTATCTGTCACTAGTTCAGGGATTTGATTGCACTTTTGCTTTTCTTGACTATTAAGACACACACACAGTTGCTCTTCCCACTTCTGCCCTTCCTACAGAATTATTTAACTAAAAATAAATGAAAGAAAATGTGAAAGTTTAAAAAGTAAAGGGATACAATATATTTAATATTGTCCAAGTAATAAAATTTGCTGGCATTCAGCCCAGCTGACACTACATCTAGATTTATCTTCTTTGGCTACTGACATATCAAGCAATAATGTCATGTCTTTTACTCAACAATTAGCATGAGGTTCTTGAATTTCTGATCAAGCTTATGTACTTTAATTTTGAAACACTCTTAGTTACCAGCTTGGAATTCATTTCATCATTGTAAAACTATCCAACAAATGAATTCAGAAAAGCTGGTAATATAGTTCTGGTACTAAACTTAACATTCATGGGTTTACACTACATTGAATCCAACTACCAAATAGGTCTGTGTAGAAACAGTGCCATCATTTTTCATTTTCCCTCATCATTGCTCATCAATTATACATCTATGGTTATCAAATTTTAAAAGGGCTTTCTGTAAGAAAAACAAAAACAAAACAAAAAAATACAGACACACAATAGTCAAAAAACCCAAAAATATGAAGAAATTTTAATTTTTCTAAATATTTTAAAATTAATAACACAATCATATGAGTTTATGTATTAATACAGTCATAACAAAAAATGCCAAAAATGACACTGGCATTGTATGGATTTTTAATTACTGAATGGAACAGTTCATTGTAATAACACTTGTATAGTAAAGGAATAAAACACTAACTTAATGAACGTGTTCATTGTAAATGGTTGTGTATTATAAAACTTCTCCAAAAGAGTTTGTATGTTTATGAAAATTTATTTGTTTCACCTGAAGACCTTGATGTGGTTCTTATCTTAACAGAGTTTAAAATTCACATTCACACTTTTTATATAAATAGTAATAAGTTTAATTATGTAACTAAGTATTTTTATAAAGTATGGCATTGTTGAACTGTTTTGCAGAATTGGTTCAAAATAAATTTCACCTTGATTGCATCTGCTTATTTGAGGTGGGGGAGGGGAGAAGGTGGGAGGGGGACAAAAGCAGAGTAGCCTTCACATTGAGGGGAGACGGATGGGAATAAAACATTCATGAGGTTTTTTTTGTCCTCTGTAAATTGTACTTCCATACAGGATTGTGAGTTCATCGTGCATTATTGCTGTTAAAACAGAGACATTTTCTAGCCGGGTTCACAGGTCCTTGGCAGGAATGGTTTAGAACAATTCTGCCTGGGCTTAAAACAAACCCCTGTGGTGGACAGACAGATGGACTTGGGATTCTTGTGGGAGCAAGTCCAACTTAAACTCTCAGCTGGCAGTAACTGCCACGCTGTAAGGCAAGCACATATCCTCTCTCTTGCTTTCTCTGGGATTAGCAGCCACTGTTCACTTCTGTCTAATTTTTCAGGGAATTTTATACATTTTTTCTTGTGATAGCCAATGTTTTATCTCAACCTCATTGAATGTTACCTGTCTCAATGACCAGTACGACTCAAAGTGCAGATCCTGGCATGTATATACAGTGCCACTGTAGGTCAAGGAGCTAGTACTGTTTGAGTTTCAATAATAACTAATACAGCACTAAAACCATTCTTCCTACAGAACCTACAAACTGCAAAGTTTACTGTATTTTTAGTATTTCCTGTAATGTAATTAATGTTTTACTATTTTTAATGAGAACAATCGTGTAATTTCTGGTAATCTGTGCTCCTCCCTGTTGTCCACCCAGACCTTGTGATTCCCATTCTGCATGCTAGGCCTGCAGACTGTTTCTGTCATGCGTTGTTTCAAGCTGTAGTATTTTAATATTTTCATACTATTTTTGAGTAAACTTCCAAACATAAACATGTGTACGATCCTACTATTTAGATAAAGTACATTCCTGCTTTAGCATAAAGCGTTATGAAAAGGACCTTATGTGTTCTTATCCTTGCAACCACTGAATTGTCATTTCATCAGGCTTGTGAGTAGCCATTACAACTGAAAAGTAGCCTTGGAAAGGTTTGGAGGGGGTTTTTGTTGGGTTGGGTGAGTTTTTTTGGATGGTTGGGGTATTTTTTGTTTAAAGAAAGACTTACAGAGTTTGCTAATGGGCAGAAACAAGGCAGAATGCTGTCTTACCCACAGTCATCTACAATACTGTTTATCCTAAAACACGTTTTCTGCAGCTGGAGTGAGTATAAATGAGTATAAAGAAGTAAACTTAATGAGCCCCCACTTTTGTTATTTATTTTCAACTGTTCAATAAACTTCTCAGTTTTTAAGTTTTCTGTGGAAATGCTGTAGATGTTTGTATTTGTGCCAATGTTCCCCCGCCACAGCATCACTTAGAGCTACACAATCCCATTGGGTTTAAACCACAGGAGCACTCAACATAAACTAAGCAGTACATTGCAAGCAGGAGACTCAAATCCTCACACCTGGCTTAAGGAATTTAGGGCTAGATTGGAGCAACTGATCTGGGCACCAGAAGCAGGGCTGGGTGGATAACTGCCTAAGTCCAGAACTGTGATTCACTCAGTAACTATTGCCTCGTGCGGTAGGTACCTGGGCCCCGTGCAAATGTCTCAAAGTGCAGGTGCCTTCATAGACACACATCTTGTTCCCACTTCAGCCTCATTGTAGTGCAGCAACAAAACTGCCCTTGACCTTCCAGGCAGTGCAGGAGTGTGACTGTCAGTGTGAGACTGGCCAAATACACATCTCTTAACAGACACCCTTCCAAGATGGTGGGGAGTCAGGAGACAGAAATGAGGTGGTTGCATGTATTTTGGATGTAACAGCCTTGAGTGTAAAACCTGGGTTCTGATCAAGAATCCTGACTAGCTGGGTGTCAGCTGTGAGAGACTGTTATGACGTTGTTGAGAGTTGGAAGCAAAACCCACTGCAGATTTCACCCTCAGCTGCAGACTTTAACATATCCTCAAGGACCAGATTATTTTCTCTGCACTTTTTCCTAGTGACACAGAAAGAGTGTTAGCTACAGAAACAGCAACAGCTTCCCAGCTTCTTTCTCCCTTAGCATAGGGGAGGAAAAGGGGGAGAGTGAGATAGGATGGAGGCAGGCAGCTGAGGTACCACACTTCACTGGGCAGAGGGAAGCTGACTGAGGGGTGTAGCATGGCAGATGTCATATGTTCTTGTCTCTGTCATATTTTCAAAACGAGGTAGAAATGCAGGGGAACTGAACAGCATCTGTTCCCTTGTGCACAGTGGAAATGGAGCAAGGCTAATGCCAAATGCTGTTCTCTCTGGTGGTTCTGGGCAGCTCACCCTGACTGGTTTCTAGCATTGCCACTTCATATTACTTGGGGAGCCCCAAGCATTGTTTTGCTCTCAGAAATTTCTAAGAACAAACCTTGATCAGCATTTAGGGAATTTAAAAAAAAAAAAAAAGATACTGAGAGCCTGACCAGAGAGTTACTGGCCCCTGGATCCCAAATAGACAGCATATCAGACACTGGGAGGTAGCTTAGCATTTCTTTCCTATATATATGGATGTAGGATTTTGTGTCAGGTTTCTCATGTTCTTCTCTGGTCCTACTCTTTGGGCTTGCTTTCCTCAATAGTTCTGCATGCAAACGTTTTTTGTAGGAAGCACATTGATTATATTTTTTAACGTTCTCTTTAAAGGCATAATTTTTGTCAAATTTTTGTCAAACAACCACTGTTGTTAGGTATTGTTGGGTATTGAAGTATTTATAGCAGTGTGTTTTTTTACAGAACACTGTCCATCTTAGTATTTAATTTACTGTAGGCAAGGAGAAACGTGTTGGCCATTGTGTTGTTTTTGTTTTATTCTTAAAGAAGACAGGACAGATACCTAGTTAAACTCAGCAGGGTCTGAGAAACAGACTGGAAATCTAAAAGGGAAACCTGAATACAAGCAGTCTTGATGAATTAGTCATGTAGCAACTGGAAAGCTGACTGCTGTGAAAGCATTCCTTTCTGTAATCAAAAAGCTACTGCCAGTAGGAGCACTTCCTTTGTGTCCTGCTGCTAGGTTATTGAGTCTCTAGCTGAGGCTGCTGGTAAGTACATACTGGGAAATTGACAGATCTGTGCATTTTACTTTTGCCCCCTGAAAATCTATCCCAACCTTTTTTTCCTGCACCTCCAGAGGTGCCAGCTGCTGGATTCACCATTCATTCAATACCACCCCCGACTCTCTCATTTATTCACATTTGGAGCAGTCTTCCAGGGTCTAAAATGGCTGTTGATCCTTCTCTTGGCTTCAGTGTTTGGCAGTGCCAGTGGTGTATTTGCTGAAGTGAGGAAGGGTAATGAAGCATTTCTGCTCTTTCAAAACCAAAATATGATAAATCTCAGTTCAATATGATTCTATGATAAAAGTACCACACATGAAGACAACGTTCCTTTGACTTCTTCATCATGAAAACAGTGAGGACTTTTCCCTGCTTCTCCAGCAGGTGTAGAAAATGCCACTCAGGGTGATGGTCATGGTGTGCTGTGGAGCAGGGAATGACTGTGCTAAATTGCAGCCCCTGCTCAGTCCTGTCAAGGAGGCCAAGTCAGTGATTCTGCCCTTCTGGAGAGTTCCCAGGAAAAGGCAAGAGTGTTAGTTCACATTCTTAAGAGTGAAAGCTGGTGACTAGATGACTTTGGTTCCTTACATGCCTCTATCCACCTTCCTCTCCTCTCGGTTCTAGCCAGAGTGTTTACAACAAACCATTTTTTATTTCTCCATCGTGGCTGTGCAATAATAGCATGGACATAGATGAAAATTCACAGGTTGGTGTTTCCCTTTTTTAAGTAGACAGTGCCTGGCAAATTAAGCAGCTTTATAAGAGCAAGGTAAGATACGTACCCCTTTCACTGGAGTTTTGATTTTGTTCTATATTTTTACCCTCTTCACTTTTGGAATGACTGTCTTTCAAAATGTCTTATGACTACCACAAACGTATATTATTTCTGTTGTGCTAAAAGACTAGAAGTTGGATAGATTTTATTTAGATTTTAGTCTGGTGTTACTTGTTAAAGTGACTTGTTAAAGTGACTGCATCGAAATCTGTCTGTTTAATTTTCTTGACATCTTTATCAAAGAACCTGTGTTTGCAAGGAGAGGATTTTGGGTTTTTTTCCCACGTGAAACTGAACTTCAATCAATTGCTTGATTGATTTAACAGTGAGTTAAAGGTTATAACAAGCAGATTACAAGTAGGCTAAATATGAGCTTTGGCGCCACTGTCATTAGAATGGCCCCAGCCTTTTCAGACTGCTACTAAGTGTTCTGAGGAGCAAGTGTGTATGTATATACTTAGCAGTAGTTATGCCCCTGCTTTCAATTGATCAGTAAAGTAGGAAGAAATGACCCTTTTTACAACCTGGGGATGACCAAGAGCTTTCAGGAGGATAGTGGGATACACATCCATGACGACAGGTCAGCCTATCTTGTGGGAATGCTCTTAATCTATTGACGAAGTAGCCTGGGCTTCATTCGTTCTTTGTTCCAAGACAGACACTGTTATGCCAGCCAATAAACAGAAATCTGCTGATAGGCAGCATCTCTCTCAGGGGTTTCCAAGGCATTCATCATCTTGCCCATCAACCCTTATTGCCTAATACATAGCATTTCTCACACACTCTCAAATAAATGAGATCAGTGTCATTATCTCTGTCATGATCCTTTATCAAGGGAAGAAGGGATGTTTTGACTCATCCAGGGTCAAGCTGACAACTGTGATCAAGCAGCAGCCAGAATCTAGTATTTGGTAAAATGAACATTTCCTTTCAGATAGGCAACTTTTCACATCACCTACCAACCTTGACCCCTGGTCCTAAGCTTGGAGAAGAGAAGCTGCAGTAATTTCCCATTATTGCTCACAATGGACACCTGAGCTACTAAAAAAAAAAACAAAACTTGTGGGCCCTGCACAGCAGTTTGGCTGCCACAAAGCCAGTGTACCAATTATGTCATGCAGACAGTGTGGAGCATGGATCTCTAGCCTGAGGCTTGCCCAGGGGGCC